GGTGGCCGGACGTACGGGCACCCATGTACCCACCAGTTCTGATGGTATCCTAAATAAAAAAAAAAAAAAAAAAAAAAAAAAAAAAATGCCATACTTTATCTAAAGATGCTCAAAAGTACAAACACACTCAGTGAGGACCCATAAATAATTCAATACATGCATATGAAATTCAAGCTCAACTAATTACCAACTAATAAATTAAAAGCAAAACTACGCCTTCTCCATTGCGTATAATTCTGTTGTCATATAATGAAAAATTCATACTGGTAACAGTACCGTTCATTGAACAAGGGATGCACCAAATTGTAAGTGTTAGCAGAAAAGGAAAACATTCAATATTTTTTACTAGATAAAGAAAAATAGACTGGCAAGAGAGGTAGGACTAAATCCCAAGTATATCTACACAAAATACAATCCACGACATGCAATGGCCCTGCATACATGCCATAAAATAAAGAGGTCGAATTCCAGCCGGAATCCCATCACTTTAAGATAGAAGAAATAAAACATGGAATCCAGTTTTCCAACACATGTTAACGGTGTCTAATTATTTTCTTACTCGTTGCTATTAGCATCATACCCGAATTAATGCTGCATTAACAGCCTACTTAAAGAAGGGAAAATCAAATCCTTCTCTTCTCGCAAATTTCGTCTTTGTAATCAGGGAAAAAGGGAAGTTACTCCTTAAATTCTCCAATTATACGATTAAACGACCTTCATTAGGGGAAAAGGAAAGGACAGTATAATTATAACATACAAAGATAAAAAGTTACCAGAAGATAAATCCCAATCACCACAAGGAGCACCCTCGTAATCTCCAGCTTTCCAAAATTGTTTACAACTCCGACGAATTAAGCCTGCATTCACATTCTCTGTCGATTGTGATTCCGCCACAGCAGCCGATGCCGGGGGCGCAGGAAGAAGCGGAGCCAGAAAACCCACCGGCAAAACCACTCCCAACTCATCGAGTTTCCTCTTCTTCTTGGAAACTCCATTGGCCGTCGAAGAAACCCTAGCTCCCGTGTAAACAAATGCGTCGCCATTTTCCCCGTTATCCGAGTCGGAGTCGCTGCTGCTGCTACTGCTACTGCTACTGCTGAGTTCGATGAACACTGAAGGGCCTACAGAAACGCTGTCGTTGCCTCGATTATGTTGAGGCGTACCCAAGGTCTCAAGGATCTCTTGCTTTATGCGAACGTCCATGGATTCTTCTATTTTATTTTTTTCTATGAAGAGGAATAGTTAGACAAACATTCAATTGCTGCTAGGTGAAATGTTCTTCAAAATATAAAATGTTTTCTCTGGTAGTGTATGGCATGCACGGGGAACAAACGTCCGCCGTTGGATTGCCGTTCTTCTCTTGGGCTCCGTGCAAGACTATATCACCAATGAAGTCGGTTTGGCGCCTCAAAATTCTGAAAGGCATGGAGCCGAAGATTAAGCGGCGCAACTGGAGAACTTAATACAGACATTGCTTGGCAGTTACAAAACTTAAATTACAGTCCAATTGCATCTCAATTACACAAACTTGGACCCACCATAGCATAGGTGGAAAGCATTCAGAAATTAAAATAACCACTGATGTTGGATTGGCTGTCTGTTCGGCTGTACCGCGGTCCACGCCATTTTATCATACCGTCCCCACTGTCCATTTCATTTCCATTTGAAATTTGAATAGAAAAGGCTAAATAAACCGAAAGTTGTAGCCAATTAAATGTTGATTGTATATAAATTCATCAATATATTTCTTTTTCTAAAAAAAAAATAGAGAGAATTTCGTTAATATGTTTCTAAATTATGAGAAAAGTTAAAGAAATATTAACAATATTTCTGAATTATTTTATGTGGAAGGTTGAATCCGAATTATTTTATGGTTATAAATCATTAGCACAACATTATTGATGGAAGGTCTATAATAAATTTATGCAATTACTGATAATCTCACGTGCACCAATTGCCACTGGAATTGCTATATAATAATAGATTATGATATATATCCAATAATGAAGTTTGTTTAAATTTGTTTTGATAACATGTATTCATCCAATCCCAATAAATAAATTTATAGTAGTTAATTAGTGGAAATAAATTAATTATTTTATATTTTGTCAACCAAATGCAGTTTGATTATAAATATTTTCTTACAGATATGAGAAGTCAATTTCAAATCCTCTCGATTATAAATATTTTCAATAATTTAGTGAATTAATGGGAGATCTACCTTTTTACTATTATATTTTAAGCAAATCTTGTTTATAAAATTAGAAATATAAACTCTAGAGTTGCTTGAAAAAATAATTTTTGGTTACTAAATTCTTCATTAATTTATATAATTAGTATTAATATATTTGTATTAATAAAGAACATGTCATTTAACGATATTTGACTATTCTTTAAAATTGTGAAATGTTTAATTTAAAATTTCAATCAAATTCCAGTGAATCATAATAAATTATTGTAAGTATTGTTTGTGCCTAACTTAATATTGGAATCTACATTTTTGGCGGGCACGGTTGAATAATAATTGTATTCTCATTATTAGATTCATTTAATATATAATTAACATTTCAGTGACATAATTATTTGATTGGAAATATTAGTATTTGTTTCCTGAAAAAGTTGTTTGTTTGGACACAATATCAAAGAACCGAGGTTTTCCTTTACTATTAATTTTCCCTCTATTCGATTTTCATTTGCCCTAATTAACTTTTAAAAAATAATTGCTAATGTAATTTTGAGGTGTCGAGAAGTTTCATCTTTGGTCAGAGACTTATGAGCCCTCCTAAAACTTTCTACTGTTTGGATTACAGTTTTGGTCAAAATTACAGAATGAATATTCAGCTATATTACTCCTGCCTTAGAAAAGCCAAAAAAAAAAAAAAAAAAAAAACCAAAAAAAAAAAAAAAAAAAAAAGGCAGAATACAAGGATTGTACATCTCAGAATTGACCGAACATACAAAAAAAAAAAACAAGAATCGTGATTTGACTATAGCGGTGAACACGCTGAATTCACTGTGTGCCGCCGTCGGTGGCTGAAAAAAAAAAAAAAAAAAGAATCGTTGATTTGACTTAGCGGTGAACACGATGATTACATGTGTGCGCCGTCGTGGCTGATTGGCAAAGTGGTAATAGCACAAAAGTTGCAATGGTATAATATATTGGAATAATGGTATCCTTTTAATTTATTATTTATGAAAATTCTTATGATAGGAAAATTAAATTCAAAAATTTTTAATTTTTTTATATAAAAAATTAATTAAATTACACTTATTGAAATACACGCTAATTTATTGTTGTAATTAAACTAACAAAGAATTAAATTTTTTTTTCAGTCAAATTAAAATTATTTTAAAACTTCAAGAGCAGTTGTAGAATAGAACCTTCACGAGCTGAGAGCTGACCAAAAAAGTCAAATTAGCGAGAAAGGAGAACAGAAAAAGATCAATGCATGCTCCGTATTTATCCATAAGAAATGGAAATGGCACGCAGTGTTTGAGCTTTAAGGGTAAATTAATCAAATTAAATTTAATTATGATTAATTAAATTAAATTTAATTTATATATTTGATATTGGGCTTATAATGATTTAAACTTATTTTTAATATAAAATAACTTAAATCATTTCAGTTGGTTCACCCTTTAGATTATATCATTTTAGTTAGTTGTATTTATCTGATGTGAGATATTCACAAACTCCAACAAAAAAACTTCAAATAGATGGTGAAATATATAAATTGTACTAATCAAAATTAAAATGACTTATATATTGTCAATTATGTAATTTGAATGATTTTCTCACCAGTGCGAAAAGTGAGAATTCTTCGATTTTCATCGATTTCGTAAACTAATGGAAAGAGTGATGAATAATAGTAAAAAAAAAAAAAAAACTAATGATGATAATGAATTTCTAGAGTTAGAAGGATGAGAATATGTTGCAGAAGAATTAAACAATTTTAAATCCATAACAAGTTACTACTTTACTACATTTGGTCATTAATTAGAAGGAATATACTCCATTAACGATAAATTCTTAATTAATCCATTTATTAGCACCAAAAAGGCAGCCGCCAGTGGTTGTCATTTTTAACGATGAGAAGGCAGGAATTATCCAGGTGAGGCATACTTGAAGCTGTCAATAATAATAATAATAATAATAATAATAATAATAATAATAATAATAATTATTATTATTATTATTGTCTCGTATATATAAGATCATTTTATTATTCTAAACATAAAGAAGATATTGCTACATTACTTAATTTAGAAGTTTGATTTTATTGATTTGGAGTAAATTTAATGTTAATTTAATCATAGTCATCAAATGAGAAGATTTTTATCTGAATATTATACTCTTAGCGTGAACTCAAAAATATGTTCATTAATATAAAATTAATCTTTTTAAATTAGTTGTCATAAATAAAATAAATAAATATCTCTCCCTGTAGCGTTGAATAATTAAATAATAAAGTAATAAAAGAGACACATAAAAGAGGAAGCAGGCCTCTAGTCTTTATTTTTTGTGATTCATTTTGTTTTAGACCAGGCACAATTCAAAATCTTGGAGTTGTTAGTGGCGTTGACAAATGCCATATCATTACGAGAGAGTTGGTGCATCCATCTGGCTACTGGCTATAGTATGTATCTGCATATAAATATTACTACTAGATTATAAATATCTAAGTATCGCCTTCCCAATGCAAGATTACCCAGGGTTGCAGCTCGGTAGTTTTTCTCATTACGGAAGATAACATGTCTGTGTGGTTCTCTTCTCTTCTTTATCTTCTTTGCTTTGGGTTGTGAATATCTTGAAGTTTGAGAGTTGAAGATTCGTAATACAGACAAAACTCCAACCCCTCTCTCTCTCTCTCTTTTGTCAGTTTCCGTCCTTTAACCTCTCTCACAATTCAATCCTTTTTTTTCTTATATAAAGGGTTAATTAATCTCTCTTGCTTTACGCTTTTTTTTTTTTTTCTTTTCTCTTGTTCTTTAAAGAAAGTTTTAATGGATACTGTAAAGGGTAACTGGAAAAGAAACATATTTGTCAATGCATGGGAAAGGTGTAAATCTTTAGGTTCTGGAAGCCCTAAATCTGCAAGAAATATTTGCAGCACCTTGATGAAAAGCAGGTCATGGCACTGCACTAATACGAAATCGTTAAGTGGAGAAGACAATGATAACAAGAGGAAAAACAAGTATCAGCAAGTAGCACCTGAAGGCTGTTTCTCTGTCTACGTAGGGCCTGAAAAACAAAGGTTTGTGATAAAAACAGAGTTCGCTAATCATCCACTGTTCAAGTCTTTGTTAGAAGATGCTGAAATGGAATATGGGTTTAATAGCGAAGGCCCAATATTGCTTCCCTGCGATGTTGATTTGTTCTATAAAGTTTTAGCAGAAATGGATAGTGTGGAGGAGATTAGTACTGCACCAACTTGGAGTCCATTACTCCTTTGTAGTCCCTCTCGTTGCTCCATTAATAAAAGGTATAGACCAGTCCGTCATACACAGTTACTAAAGTTGAATCGATTATAAATATTGCTGTATTTATGCCTGGAAGATCATCAAAATGTTGTTTTTTGGGGGTTTAATTATGTATAGACTGTACATGTAACTCGAGTTTTAGTTATGGATATAGAGAAATTATATACACATATGAATGAGTATTGCATAATCGGTAATGATCTGCAAATTTGTAGCCTGTAAGGTAATGGAAAGAAATGATGATAATCAAAATTTCCATCCCTACAGATTTTTTTTTTTTTTTTTTTTTATAATCGGTAATTGAAATCTGGCAAATTTTGTAGCCTGTAAGGTAAATGGAAAGAAAGATGATAAATGCAAAATTTCCATCCCTTACAAGAATTTTTTTTTTTTTTTTTTTTTTTGAATTTCAGTTATATTTTATCAAATAATTTCGTGACTGAAGATGTCAGATCGCAGTCATTAGCTTTTTTTTTTTTCCAATTTTATTTTTAAGGATTATATTATTGATGTAAAATAAAACTAGTCCGTCCCTATATTTTTTAAAAAATAAAAGAGATATTTTCTTAATTTCATAAGATACTAAATGGTAAAAAATTGATAAATTATATAAAAAAAATTAGTTTGTTTCTTAAAAGACAGGAACGGACTGATTGTATTGTATTTAGCAAATCACGTGAATTGTAACTTTCTCTTTTCCATCACATATTCATTAGCCTCTGTCTCAATCCAATTACATTTAAGAGTGTAAATTTTAATTTAGAATTTATATAAATCTCACGCTTAGTAATCTATAGTAATTTAAAATGATATGTAAATCTTAATAGTTAATCTTATGAGTTATCTTAAATAGGTTAATTCTTATGAGTTTATATATATATATATATAATATTATATATATTATATATATATATGTAATAAGGTCCTTTCTTCTAATAAGTTTGTGTTAAAACGGATGCGGCTCTGCATGGACCAAAATGTAAAAAATTTTCATCTTAGGTTTTGTTGCTTAAATATTTTTTCTTGATATTCGGTCCTTAGTTTTTGTAGTGTTAAATAAGTATCTCTGTGGATGCGGCTTAGTCCTGAATTTCCACATCAGAAATATTTGTTTTTGATTTGTAAATTAAATGGGTATCGTTGTCCTTTCATCATAGCATTTACTTCAGAAATCAACCATACTTGGTAAAAAATTTAATTTGTTTTGTTTAAACACGGTCCTGTATGTTTGTTGGTATCAGAAGCCTTGGTTGTTTTTAGTCTGTATCCATTGAGGATTTTTGACTTCAGTGGTGGTATTCCTGAAAAAGAGCCCACATTCTTACCCCACCATTTTATTTTGTGTCTTTTTACTAACATAGGAATTTGAGTTCCTGGGACATACTGATAATCGAAATACCATTGATATACCCAAGGGGTTAAGAAGGTCATACAATAATACATCAAAGATGGGATATGAACTTCTCCTGGAGTAGGTTTATAGTGGGATTTAAAATAATGATATAAAGAAAGGATCTCAGGAGTAATGATTTCCTCAGAGATACCTCTTGACTGCCACTATTTTTTAAACCAATTTGGAATTTTTAAATCAGTTCTGATATGCTGATCAAAATATATTAACCACGAATGAGTGGTAGTTGGATTTTGAATACAAAAAAAATTTTCCCAAGCTTCTTTATAATCAAAATAATTATATGTAGAATTATAAATGTACGGATGTGTTTTTATGATTAAACGTGGTTTAGAAGTCTGTACTTTATGTAAAACTTTAAATCTTACTGGAGTAGAAAGTGAAGATACGGGCCAATCTTTAGGATGAATAACCCGTTTTATTTGAATAGAAGAATAAGAAATTACATTTTTATGTTTTGGATCAAAAGTGTGTTTTATTTTTACAGAACCAGTATCTATTAAAATATTATGATAATACTCCTGAGGTTTTGAAAAATCAGTTGGAACAAAATACCAATCCTCGGGATAATAATGCTTTATGATTTGCCAAGGATTAATATTATTATATCCGTCCTCGACTTCAATTTCATAATCATAAACATTTTTTCCAAACCATTTATGAATACTACTAGTATTAGAATACTGGATTTTTGGCAAATCCACAGCCATCAACGGATTTGATATGTCTTTACTGTCTACCGTTTGAGACAGACTTAGGGTCTATACGCGTTGGATGCCAAGCTTCGCTAGCCGTGACCAATGGCGATGACGAACGCTTTCAGGTTAAGAAAATCATACCGTATTTCCTGTGAAAGAAGACGACTCAATACCTCGGACCTTGCCAACCAGGCCTTCTACATGACTCCTCTGGACGATGCAGCTAAGCTCATCCTAATTCACATTTTTTAAGGTCTTTAGTTCCTCAATCCATTTTTTAAGGTCTTTAGAAGGGGTTTGTTTACTAAAGGTTTAGTGAGGTCTTCAGAATGCTCAGAAAGAGCTTTAGTGGGTGAATTAGACTCTTGTTTAGATGCTTTTCCCTTATCCTTCTTCTTTCCCATTGGTCTGTAAGAATTCTCGTGTCAGAAAGTCTGGTATATTATTAGCACTACCTTTAATATACTCAATATCAAATTCAGAAATACTTAATAGTGCTTGCCATCTAGCAAAAATTTGTTTAGAGGCAAGATTTTGAACATCTTTTTGCAAAACATCTTTTACAGATTTACAATCAATTCTGAGTAAAAACTTTTGATTTAACAAATCAGATTGAAACTTATTTATACATATCACTATACTTAAAATTTCTTTTTTAATAGTGGAATAATTTATTTGCGTCTGGTTCCAATGACCTGACGTATATTGAATTATACGTTCTTTACCATCAAGTTTTTGTTTTAAGATGCCACCATATCCTATATTGGATGCATCTGTTTCTACAATTTTAAATGCAGTTGGATGTGGATATATAAATAAGGAATTTCTTTTACTAATGATTTAATCTTTTTTACTAATTGTGTATGTTTATAGGTCCAGGGACCAGCATTTTTTCTAAGTCTATCATGTAAAGGTTTTTAAATCAATACAATTTAAATTAGATAAAATACAATTTAAATGACATAATTTAAACAACCAAGAAATCTTTGAAGTTGTACTTTATTAGTTATTTCATCAGGAAATTTTTCTCCAAATACTAAAGTCCTTTCTATATGTTGTATTATTCCTTGTTCAATATAATGTCCTAAAAATCTGATTTTAGTTTTAAACAAATCCATTTTAGTTTTACTTAGTGCTAAACCATTTTTTTCTATAATCATACAGAAAGTTTTTAAATGTTTAAAATGGTTTTCTATAGTTTGACTAAATACTAATACATCATCAATATAAACTATACAAAACTGTGAATATGGGTTAAATATATTATTCATTATTCTTTGAAATTCTGAAGGTGCATTTTTTAGTCCAAACGGCATTACATTCCATTCATATTGACCGAAAGGAACTGTAAATGTTGTTTTATATCTATCTTTAGGAGCAATTTGTATTTGCCAATATTTGTATTTGCCAATATCCTGATTTCATGTCAAATTTACTAAAAATATTAGCATTGTACAATTCTTTAAAAAGATTTTTTTTAATTATGGAATTGGATATCTATCCTTTTTAATGTGTATTTAAAGGTTTATAGTTTTATTACCACGTCTTGGTACTTTCCTCTTTCCTATTTTCTGCATTTTTTATTAGACATACAAACTGCCGCACATGAACCAGGCATTTCTTGCCTTTACAAATTAATTTTTTATTTTCCTAAATTCTTTGATTTCACTTTTTCCAGATGTTTCTATTAATTCAAGGATCTCATTGAATTGGCCTAGACTTTAGTTTGGTTAATTGCTTCGTTCAATCAAAATTATTTTTTATATGGCAGTCAACTTATGTGCTGTTTACGCGATTCCCACAGACAAGCAATTTGGTGATCTGCAACAAAGTTTTTTCTCCCATATAATCTTTTAGGTTTTTTATTTTATTTCTGTATGAATTATCCGTTTCTAATTGTTTCTTTAATTGCGTTTAAAACACAATATATTCTTTAATCTTTTAATGTCTTCTTCCTTGGATAATGAATTGATTTCTAAGGTTCTAATAGAATGAGCTTTTAATAAATTTAAATTTTTTCGTTTAGGTTTTTCTGTAAATTCAAGTCTAGCTTTTTTATTCCTGATTTTAAATTTAATACAATATTCTTTAACTGAATAAGGTGTTATTAGATTTATGTGCCTAAAATTACCATATAATTTATTTGAGGAGAAAGTAAAAATACTGTTTTTATTTCTAAATCATGATTTACAATTAGTGCTTCTACTTTGCCTACTATATCTAATTTAGTTTTATTAGCTGTACTTAATTTTTCTTTAGTATCTAACCAATATCTTTTAGTAAGTTGTTTCCTTATTAATTAACTTGCCAATATCTTTTAGGTACTATATCTGATTTTATACAATTTTAAAATCTACGCATGTTGCTCCAAATAATGCTATTTGCATCTAATAATGAAAATGCATTTTAATATTTATTTTTACTAAATATTTTCGTGAAGTAATTTCTTGCAATAAAAATAGAAAATTACTATTTACTTCTTCATCTTCTTCCAATTGTTTTATTTCATCTTTTATGTCATCATCTGGTTCTTCAGAAGAAGAACTAGATATGAGTTGAGATTCTAATAGTTTTATTTTCTTAGCATTTTGTTGAGATTGTATTTTTAATTCATTTACTTCATGCTTTAGAGTCTTAATTTCCTTTTGTAATTCTTTATTGGAGATTTCTACTTCTATATTTTTATGTTTATGTTTATTTAATATAGTGGTTAAATCATAAGTTTTAGATTGTAATTTAGGAGTTATCTCTTTTACTTCTTTTTCTTGAGTTATCTCTTTTACTTCTTTTTCTTCTTCAAAACTTTTTATTAATTTTTTAAGAAGTTGAGCTTTAGTTTCAGTATCAGTTATATTATTTACTACTTCAAGAAGTGTACTTTGATCTTTAGTGAGCATATTTATAGATTTTTCTGAAGAACTAGTTATTGTTCCTAGTTCATCAATTTGATTGTCACTTTCTATTATCTCTGATCCTGAGGTATCTGAATCGAGATATAGTTCATGGATTTTATTTAACACGTTTTCGTCTAGATTTAATTCATTTAATTTTTTATTGAATCTACAAAACTTTGACGTATGTCCTTTTTTACCACAATTATAACAAGTTAAGTCTTTATAAGAAGTTTTATTTAATACATGAAGTTTTATTTGAAGGATTTATATGGGTTGGTTTCTTTTTATATTTTCTTATAAGGTTTTGACTTTTCTTTATGAATAGTATTTCTCTTGGCTGGGTTTAGAATTTATAATGTTTTTTTAATGCTTTTATATTTATACTAGGTCTAGTTAGTTGTTTAGAACACTGGCCCTGTTACCATCACTGTCGTAGTATTCCATGCCATAACCAACGCTGTTCTATAAACAAAAAGATCTAATCCTTGTTTAGTTTTTATGCATCTCATATTTAAAGTTCTTTTGAAGTTTTAAGTCAGACAATCTGTAATCCTTCTTTTTGAATTATATCCTATTCCACTGTCCATAAGTTACTAATTTATATAAGGTCAATGGGTTTTTTTACCAAATTGTGTTGTTTTATATAATTCCTAACCTTTTCACCCAAGAAAAAAGGGAGTCCGGCTAAGAACTTCTCTTTCCAAAAGGCTTGATTAGAATCTTCTCTTAGCATTAACCTAGTAAGAAAAGTAGTTTTATAATATTGAAAATCACTTAATTTTTTACATTTTAAATTGCTAAATAATTCTACATTTTTATCTTTTAAGTGTGATGGATCTCCTATAAAGTGCAATGAAATAGTGAGAATTAATGTTGATACTGCATCTTGAATAGGTTCACCATTTTCATCATATATTGGATCTCCTTCATCATTTACTTGGACTGAATTTAATTTAGATTTCTAAATGTTTGTGGTCATTTAGGTACTAATCCCACCATAACCTTTAAGTTACCGGTAAATCCTGCTATAATCATTTTTCTGCTATACTCTATCTGAATATAATTGACTGGTTTTATTAAGCATTAGCTGCCATAGTCATTTGTTTAATTATACTAATATATTGTATTCAGATAGTCCATCTTATTCCATTCCATAAATTGTAGTTGCTATTATATTTTAAATTGAGATATAGAAATTCTGGTTTACTCTATTAAAAGCCTAAGTCCTGGTGCTCTCTTTACCTAATTGTCTCTATGTGAACATAATTTTGCATTATATTTAAATTGAGATATAGAATTTGGTTTATCTATTAAGCCTAAGTCTGGTGCTCTATTTACTAATTCTCTATGTGAAATATTTACGATATCTTGATGTGATATAGGATTTAATTCAAATTGTTAAATATCAATTATGTAATTCAAATAGTTTCTAAATTCTCTCTCTCTATATATATATATATATATATATTTAAATATGGATATTTTTAAAAATAATTAAACGAGAAAAATAGAAAATATTAGAGCAACTTTAAGAATTTTTTGGGATAACAACAAAATTTTCTACGTGGGGCCAACACTTCATTTTAGCAATCTTTTTATCGCATCTTATTACAATAAAATTCATGAAAACACAAATACATTAAACTGATGAAGTAAAATACATGATTTGGTAAGCAGAAACACATGATCTACTTCAAGAAACAAATTGCATCGTACAAAGCTTTTGATTGTTCAAATCTGCATTAATTCTTCAAAGAATTTCATGGCAGAAGCTGGCAAACCCAAAAGCACGTTTATGCTTTTCCTTTCTTTTCCATGAGAAAGAAAAAGAATTACTTCCTTTTCAGGCAAAGCAACAGGTCCTGATAAAATAGGCTCCCCCCACCCGAAATCTGTAGTGTGGAAAGATAGCCTAGACCAAGTAGTGATTAAAAGAGTTCCAGCTAAAGAAGGTCTTGCTCTTGTAACTTCAAAGTAATCAATGGCTGACCTCATATAACTGTCATTAACCAAGTTAACTGCCTCCTTAACTAATCCTACTGCGAAGGAAAGGTGATTATCAAGTAAGTCCCCTGCTCTACACAAGGAATTTGTTAAGACGATTGCATTGCCAAAATACCCTTCAGGTATTGGTGGTGCAAATCTAGAACGTCCATCGACAGCAAAAAGCAGTTTTGTTTGTTGATCAGGAAGCATTCTTAATGCCTGACATCGTGCTTTCCATACAAAGGCGGAAAGGGCTTCAAATGTAGAGCATTTGGGTATAACTCCATTCTCTGTGGCCATTTCTTTGAGTTTTTCAAGTTTCTCAGGATCAAAACAGAATGACCTATAGAGCATTTCTTCTTCATAAAGTTTGCTGGTATTTGATATATCTTCAATCTCAACAAATTCATGATGTGGAAACTCTATTTTAGGTGGGTTTCGTGCTTTTAGTATGCTTCTGTCAGGAAATGGAGGCACCTTTAGAGGCAAACCCCTAGCAGTTTCACCCCATGAATTTACAAATTCCATTGCACCGATTCCATCAAACATACAGTGGTTCATGCATAATCCAAGAACAAATCCTCCACAATTGAATCTAGTCACCTGGAAGATAATATCAGTTTTTAATATGAAGACTATACCTTAAGGTTATTACATGACATAATTTAATTTGACACCTGAAGATGTCCTTTTGGATTTAAAAGCACAATATATAACCATAAACAATTTCCCAACTTTTCAAAAAAAAGTTTTTCTCAACAACGGATCAAACAATGATGTCAAACATCCCTAAAAATTTTTAAAGAAAATAAGCAGCAAGATCAGAGAATCCTCAAACCTGAGCCACTAGAGGAGGTATCTGAAGTATGTTCTGTGCACCAGGAATGTCATAAACTAACTTTCCAAGTGTGACAGGATCAGGCTTTGTAGTGTCTCCTATTTCTGTTATCTCACAATTCGCTTCAGCTTCAACCAAAACAGCGCCCTCTCCAGTGCAATCCACTATCAGCTTGCCTTCTGAGCTAATTGTTAGCCGGCCAGCAAGAGGATAGTATTGAACAAGAACTTTTGACAAAGCATCTTTTATAACTTCCATAGCATCCTCATTTCCTTTCACATCAGACTTAAAGCAGTAAATAGTACGAACTACAACTGCAATATTCTGGTCAAGGTTAGAGAGGAAGTATAAACCCTTCACTGTCTCCTCAGCAGGTGGCACCAGAATTGGTTCGCCTTGCTTAACACTAAGTTGAAATTTATTATTACTGCCATCTGCCATGGATGATGATGCTACTTAAAACCTGACAAACCAGAAAAAGAAGATTAATGGATTTACACACACATTCTATGCCTGTTGAATATAATAGACAGTACCAGAAACCTACCTGAAATAGAAAAGTAGAAAATTGCAGACAAACAGGCAGCAATGAAACCTGCTTTTGTGTATATTCTCTAGAAATTTTGTTGAAGTTATATAGGAAGAGATGTGAGCCAAAAATTTGACTACCATTTGTTTTGGTTAACAAAATGCAACGAGTTGACAGGGACAGGTTTCAGACCTGTATTGAATACGACAAACTCATATTAATGCAGGAACCTCACTAGGATTAGAGAGAAAATTGAATCTTTTTTTTTTTTTTTTTTTTTTTTTTTTTTTTACAAACCTCAATATTAATGCAGGAACCTCGACTAGGATTAAGAAGAAAATTGAATCATTTTTTTTTTTTTTTTTTTTTTTTTTTTTTTTTTCTGGATATTGTTCCTTCTTCATTTTTTTTTTTTTTTTTTTTTTTTTTTTTTTCTGGATATTGTCCTTTCTTCAAATCTTGGAAAGGTCATAGGTTGTGGTAGGCTACTTGCCAAGGAACCACAATATTACCAGCAAGTAAGTAGAAACCAGTGTTGGTTGGTGGGGTTGGCGTCCAAATTTTGGTTACTTGATATACTTTATTACAATTTCTTAATCAAAGTTGGATTCGGGTCTATTGTCTTTCACTGATCAGATTATGCTTATATATGAATATTTTGATTATTTTATTGTAAGGTTAAAATCACAGCCTATGACCATAGAGAAATAATTGAATCTCAGCTTGTATCATGGACCCAGAGTGAGTGAACAATTTCAAAGATATGAACTGGTTGAAAAATACTCATCAGTGTTCTAATACCGTTTGATTAACATAATTCTGTGCCACTCTTATGAGAATAGTTCATCCGACGGTTGAAATCCTGCATTGTTATCTCCTTCACCCCTTGCCCTTAGCATCAAGCAAAGGCTAGAGAATTAAAAATAATTGTTGAGACCTTGTTTGTTGAAACGTTTTAATCTTACTTTTTCATTGCGGTTGATTTTGGCTACAATTCAACTTTGACAAGCAAGAAGGGATTCAATACATATCAATCCGGTGATCTGAATAAGTCAAAGAGCAACCAGAAAATCTCTGGCCTATCGTGAAATAACTCAGATAAGCAAAGCATACGCGTCAATTATAACTTCACGAGACGCCAGAAACAATGCCAATTAGAATGTCTAATTGTATGGAACAATAGAATTTCATAATAACTACATATATTATCTAAATTTTGTATAATCTCTATATATTAATCATTCTAAACCAAATAATTTAATAAAACAACCCTAACTAAATCAATAATTGAAAAAAATAATAGAGGATTATTAATTTATACCAAAACCATAAATAATATGATAATTTATACAAACCTTCTGCTAGGATCACTAATCAGTGGAGGCCAGCACCAATTTAAGACGACAATTTGAAATTGAGTGCTAACCGTATAACCCTGATGAAAACGACTTAAGACAGGCATCTGAATTAATTAATCAAATTTGGTCATGCATCGAGTGTACCAGACAACTCCAAGCATTCAAGTGCAGATAAGTTTCAGCGACTCAAATCTCTGGCAATAAATAAGAACGCCACATCAAAAATACCATCCCATCCAACATAATAGTAGTACAAATAATTTACTTACAAATTCACAAACTTGAAACAATTCAGTCAAGGCCAAAAGGCAAACACCACTTAAAGTGTATTCTCTAGCTCAGAGCATGAGCCCCACGCAACAAAAACAATTAATCTCGCAAAAGGCTCCATAATACACGATCCTGCGCCCATACCAAGAACCTGTGTGCCATTATGTACACCAAAGCAATAACCCAAAATAATATAGCTTTGTTAAAACGATGTTCTAATAACCATTGCAACCAAAATACTAGACATACATGATGGAAAGCAATATTTGGCAGCAATATGCTACAGAGAAACATTTTTCTTTACTGACTTCAACTTCCTTCCATAAGTTACATTCATGAGCACTAGCAATGTGCCACAAGGAAAATCCGACCAAATGACAAGCCAAATTATTATTCAACTGCTACAATTAACAAGTACAAAGTAGCTAGTGATGCTTTAAAAGCACCTTTTTAGTCAATCAACGTTCAAGATTTACCATTCAATTAAATAAAGAAAAATCATTCACTGCTCATATGTTGGGAACAGTCAATAAATACATCTAAAAGGCAGATTTAATTAGAAAGATGAAGGATTTCAGACAGGAAGAGGAGCTGCTGCAGAACTACTAAAACTTAAGGTCAGCGCAAAAACTAGTTGTAAGAAGAAGTTACTAATGCATATGGTACAAATAGACCCTGTAGGAATATTTTCGTTGAGACATAGTCATTCAGTCCATGCTGTAGTTGTGAGTTTGTCATCAATAGTCGTCTTCGAGAACCCCTATGGGGAGATTATCTCCAAAGATTACACAGCATACCTCATGTTTGACATTGTTAATCACCTACATTGATATGAACTAGGCATCATCATCACCGTCTCCATCCTTGTCTGCATCACCACCGGGCTCAATATTATCATCCTCCCCTTCATCTTCCTCATCAGACATATTGTTTATCACCTCTGTAATAATATCCTTAACCTCTGCTTTCCTATGCATTAGATCTAAACCAAAGTGGGTACCTAATATGAACACAATTAATATGTATGATTAGTAGAGTTGAATTGGAAGCATGCCAATGCTTCAACAAATCATAAAAGATCAACATACCAAGTTGCCTGAGAATATCGGATAAAGTTGCCTGCACATTGACATAAGCAGAAATTTTTGAGATGATGTAACTGACAAAAACTATTGAAATCATCATAAGGCCAAGCAAAAGACAGCTTACAGTATTGAAATCCACTTCCTTCAGAATATCTACTACCACTGAATGCATATCCTCTCTGGTAGGCTCTGCCTTGGCCTTCTTGCCAGATTTGGCTTTACCTAATCGTCCAATGCAAAGATCAATAGTTAAGCAAGAAAATGAATAATTAGATGAAATTCTGAGACATACACACACACACACACACAGAGCCCATGTAGATGCAAAAACAATTTTGAAAACAATTTAAAATCAGAAAAACAACAGTGAAGTAGTTAACCATCCAACATCATTAACTGCCTTTTCAAAAGGAACCCACTAAGCATCTCTAAATCCAAAGCTGCCTTTTCAAACCTTGAAACATCCCATGACAACATCTCAATCCTCTACTCTCTTCCAGACAAGAGTATCATGGTTTGGCCCTTTTTTTTTTATTTCAATTTACAAAGTTGACATACAGAAAACTCCAAAAATTCATTGTTGCAACAAATATGTCCTTTCTCTAAGTTCCTCACATGCTTAGAAACTAAGAACTCTAAAGTTAAGGACAAACATTATGCAACATACCTTGATCCTTCATGGAAGCCTTTGATGGCAACTTCCCTGACTGTTTCTTGCCTGTGCCCTTGTCCTTACTGGGTACACTTTCCTTTTCAACTTTCTGTTTCTTAGATGCAGATCCCTTAGTCTTGGAAATTGCACCTGAAGTTCCATCAGGTTCTGTAGTGTCTTGCTTTGATGATGAGGCAGAAGACTTTTTGGTAGATTTTGCAGGGCTTTTCACAGGTTTTGCTGTGCTCTTTTTGCCAGGTGTAAGTTTGTCCTTTCTTTTAGCCCCTGAACTTTCTTTCACACTTTTTTTGGATGCCTTTTTCTTTGGCGTCTGCTCTTCTGGTTCATCTTCTTCTTCCTCTGATTTGTTGTCCTCGTGGTCACTCTCTTCTTTTGGCATTACCTCATTTTCATCATCATTATCATCATCATCATCTTGAGAGTCATCTTTAACACCCTTAACATCTGGTGATTCATTCTTATCTTCATCCTCATCCTCATCACCTTTGGACAAATGCTTCCGTTTTTCTCCAGATTGAGGTGTTCGTTTTTGCTTCTACAAAACAAAGTGACAAATGAATACCCATTGCAAAGGCTTTCAAAAAAAAAAAAAAAAAAAAAAAAAAAGTGACAAATCGAATACCCATTGCAAAGGCCTTTTCAAAAAAAAAAAAAAAAAAAAAAACATAGACCAAAAAAAACTACAAAACAATAAATCAGCATGGATGAATGAAATTTTTATTACATTAGATTAAAGCTTAAACAGAAGTATAAAGAAAAGCAGCAAACATACAATATTTGCAAACAATTCAATTAGGGAAGCTGTGCATAACCAACACAAAAAAAAAAAAAAAAAAAAAACATAGACCAAAAAAAAACTACAAAACAAATATCAGCATGGATATGAATTTTATTACATTTAAGATTAAAGCTTAAAACAGAATATAAGAGAAAGCAGCAACATACAATATTTGCAACATTCATTAGGGAAGCTGTGCATAACAACACACTAAAGCCTATTTTCAGCTTAAAAGAATTGATGATTGAGATTCAGGAGTGCTTTTACTGAATTGAACAACAGCAAGAACATGCACTAATTGGATCATGCCAATCATCATCAAATATGGACATCCATTGGTGTTTGTGTGCAGACAAGATAATTACCTGATAACGTTGCACATTAATTATGTTATATCAGCAAAGAAATTAAAATGTTTTCATCCACTAGTGCATGTGTAGAAATGAAATTCCAGAGAAAATAACTTCATCCAAGGACAACATAAGTAATACATTACAACACAAAGAACATCCCCCTAGTTGAATCATGCCAATCATCATCAAATATGTACATTTCTTGCCCATTTGTGCACACATAGGAATAATTAGCTGAGAGCATTGCACATTAAGTATGTCACGTATCAGCTAAGAAGTGAACATCTTTCATTTTCATCTGTTTGTGCATGTCTATTCACACCATTTAGAAATGAAATTCAAGAGAAAAAAATTCATCCAAAACAATATATATAATATATTTTAACACAACGAAGTGAATGCACAACACATTTAGAGAGAGAGAGAGAGAGAGAGAAGGTACAAAATATTCAACTACAGAATCAAGTTTTTCAGACATCAAGAATGCCCATTATACTTGCACATTAGCATGATCACAATCAGTGAAACACAATAGGTCACTTGTTCCATTTGAATAGCAACACAGAACTATGATAACATAACTGATACAATCAGATTTCACAAAATCTAAAAGTAACCAGGAGAAATGTAATGATTATCAATAAAAACAGGGGATTATCTGTGGGAAACTGTGATCAAAACATTTGAAGCAGCTTCATTGTGGTTCCAAAATGTGGCTAAAAAAAGGTAGTAACAATATCCAAAAAGGAAGCAAGAAAGCTTAACAAATTAATTATGCAAGTTGGACAATTTGTGATTGATTAGTAAGGAACTTACAGAAAGGCAATGCAGCTAGTCTCAAAAGGAAACCACCCAAATAATTCTGACATTACCCATAGAGTAGGACCACTCATCCCATGCACTTTAATTTTTTAGGAATAATCAAGGAATCACTACTTATACGTGCAAGATACTAAATGGAAAGAATTTCCCCCAAAACAAACATTTTTCACAGCATACCAATTCATTCTTCAGCATTAGAAATCAATGTGCATCCAGAAAAAATATACATATAATGATTTTAATTAACATATATTGTTATAATGCTTTTTCATGCATAAACAGACTGCAGAATACAAACCTTGGCTGGTGTAACTGATGCTTCTCCAGGGCTTACATTTTTGCTTGCTGTGACTTTACGCTTCTTGCCTTTCTGAAATCACAATGAGCACCAAATTCCACCATCAATTGTACAATGAAAGACTGCCTCATATTCTAAAATAAAGCTAAACCAGATCAAAAATATTAGAACCTGTTCCTTATCAGCAAGCAAAACATCAGTTGTAGAATGTGGAGATTCCAAGAACTCCAACAATTTCACAGTGAGCTCCTCCTAAAGACAATCAAACAATTAAGCAATTATATTCTGTAAAATGAATTGAAATCACATAATGATATAAGATTTTGTTCAATACTACCAACCTTTTTCACAACTGCCTTACTAATTGGAATATTAAGCACATCACAGAAATCCACCAACTTTTCTTTGACACACTTATCAAGTTTTTCCCTTACTTTTGCTTTATGTTTTTCCTGCTAGGATGTGAAATAATCAGTCAAAGAGGATTTCTAAGAAAGAATAATAGTTTAGCCAAGGGGTAATTGTTATAAATAAATCTTTGACCAAGTCCTACTGTGAATGTGTTTATGCAAGAAACTGTGTGTTGATAAAACATATAAGTGCCAACAGGTAAAAGCATATGACAGGATAAATATTTAGCCATGAGATAGAACACCTCATTCTCAGTCCAGACATAGCCCGAAAACTGGCCTATATTTTTCTTCAAATTGTGTGCCTGAAATCATAAAAGCAGTAATATGATAATGTTAAACAAAATAATCAATGAGAGGCAAAATCAATTAGAACAAAAGATCAATGAGGCTTTTCTCCATGCAGAGTGAATTCATTGTCAAGCACTTTCAATTGTGATTCCAAAATTAACAGTGCAGAAGTGCAGAGCTGATAATCCATTCTGCATGGAAATACACCCACCGAGACCAAATTAATGGAGCACCTTTGCTTTCTTTCCAAAAAGTATAGTGTGAAGTAACTGCAGATTGTCATCAGGTTTTCTCTTTGACAACTTGAAAGCCACTGAAATAGTTCACAATATCAGACAAAAAATTAGGTCAATCAGATGTTACAACAAAGTTAAATTTAAGTGAATAACACTATTCTATAAAATCCTTCATTAGGTCAACATCATCAGAAATTCTCCGCCCTTCTATAAACAGGAAAATTTCACGTGCAGAGTATCAAAAGAAACCAATGCTAGCTCTAAGGGCCAGGTCTTGAGAAAATTATAAAACCCAATATATTGAGGTAATTAAAGAAAAATAATGTGGCTTTTCTTATAACATATTGATAACATCCAAAAACAATTTGTTGGCCTATGTTGAATGTTCAGAACCAAAACAGAGTAGACTGTGAGTGCATATGATTCTAATAACGCATTTCCATATCAGCTAATCAAATTGAATTTACGTCAAAGAAAGAAAAAGAGATGCAGATATGAACTCTTAAAAACCTAGAACTGGCATGACATCAAATCACAGAAAAAAAAACAGTAGCAATTGAATAAAATCAAATCCAGATAGAAGACACGAGACAGAAGAAAATGTCCTGTATGTGCAAACCATCTTATAGAACAACCAAACAGTGAGCACTGTGAAGAAATGTTATTAACCGAAACATTAGCAATATTTGATAGCACACAAAACAATACATAGGAGAGAATATAACTAGAAAGAAAGTGAACAGTACCATTTGGAATATCTTTCAGCTGTGTGCCACGACCCTGCATCACAAGAACCGAGTTTGATTAAACAAACACCGATTCCATCTTTATACTCAAATCGAAATATCCAAATGTGAAAAACCAAATAAAAAAATAAACAAATGATTTACCTTCTCAATGGACAATGGCTTGCTTGCTGATCTCCCAGGCTCTGGTGCGGAGTACCTTTCCACCATCTTCCTCTCTCTGGTAGGCCTCTCACTGCTAGGCGTCACGGGCTCTTTCTCTTTCTTATCAATTGATTCTTTATTTTGTTTCTTCTCGGAAGATTCCTGCGTTCTCTTCTTCGACTCGTTCTGCTCTTTCTTCGAGGAACTTCTTCGGCCACCTCGCTTAGCTTTCTTGCTCTTTTCTTCTTCCTTCTCATCTTCTTCTTCTTCTGCATCTTCTTCCTTTTCCACCTTAGCTACGTCAGCCTTTTCTTCCTGTTCTTCTTTCTCTTCCTCTCCAACGTCTTTCTGTTCTGTTTCTTCATTGGCCTGAGAAACCTCTTTCTCAGGAACTTCCGTATTCCCTTCCTCCTTCTCTTCTTCCTTCTCTTCCTTCTCCTCTTCGTCCGCTTTCTCTTTTCCTTCTTTAGGTTTGGGCTCCCCTTTGTCCTCCATGGGAGCTTCCTCCTCTGATTTCTTCTCCTCTAGGGTTTCGCTCGCCATGTGACCAAACAAATCGAATAGTGACAGAAGGTATAAAACCCTAAGTTGAGGGTTTTGGCAGAAAGAAATGAAATCTAGAGATCTGAGAGAGTGAATTCCAGAGTTTGGTTGTCTGTAGCAGAGTGTGTGATTTAGGGATTTTTTGGATGGGAGGGAGAATAGGGCGGGCTCGAATTAGGAAATGGGAAAGGCGGGGTTCAAAAATTTTGATGCCGAAATTGAAAGCGGGGCTTTAGAAATTTTCACTCACTCGCGGCAAAGCGCTGAAATTTTTTGGAGGCAAAAGAGGTACGATACTACCGCGATGCTCTAATCTTTAATGTACTGCGTAAGTTGTCTTTACTCAACAGTCAGCACGTGTCTAATTTTGGTTGCTGGTGGATTACAACAAGTATACAACGTTATTTTTATTACATAATTAAGACAACAAATCTATCTATTATTTTATAATATAAATGTAACTAATTAGTATTTATGTAATCTTTTATTCGCTCTCTAATTATATAAACCATTTTTTATTAATATTTTTTTTTTTTCCTATTTAAATTTACGAGTCCCAGTAATACAGTAATATTCATGCTTCGATTCGATATTATCATTGTACATAAGTATAATTTGGAAAAAAAAAGTTATGTAAGTGTATAGGTTTTATTTTATTGACTTATTGTTTTAATATATATGTCTTTTTCCATTATTGTTGTTATATATGTAAATTTAATTTTATTTGTTCGTTCTCTATACAAATTTCAAATTATATTTCAAGAACAAATGTTATATGTTTATTGATATCAAATAACTTCCTTTTAAATTATAAGATCAAAATTTATTTAATTTTGATTATCCATATTAAAATAGAATCAATAGTATTTTAAATGTTTTGGTTTAATAGTAATCAATTTTTTTCATAATAATCATACTTGTATTTTATTACAAGTAACAAAATTATATATTAAATAATTTAAATTTTTATATACAACAATTATGTTCAATATTTCACTTTTGATTTTGTACATATGAGTTTATTTTTACAATATTTAAATTTATAAATTTATTTAAAATTTTGAATTATCCATAAATGTAAAATGAATAATAGTATTTCAAAAGTTTTGGTTTAATAAGTAAAATCAATTTTTTCATAATAACAAAATACTTGTATTTTAATTGACAAGTTAACAAAATTATATATTAAAATAATTTAAATTTTTTAATATACAACAAATTATGTTTCAATATTTCACTTTTGATTTTTTGTACATATGGAAGTTAATTTTTACAAATATTAAATTTAATATATATATTTATAATAACATTATGTAATTACTGTTATTTATTTTTTATGGCGATAAATGTATTTTTTAAAAAATAGTTTAAAAAAATTTTTCACTGTAGTACCATCTTTTCATAAAAAAAAAAATTTAAGTGTAATATAATTATAAAAAAAGTTATATATTATTTTATTACAATTTTTAATATGTACCAAATAATGTTCTTTTAAATATAAATTTATGTTTTGTATTTGAATTAAAAATATTAACTCATTAAAATCATGATATATAACATATGTATTACTGTTATTATTTTTATGCATAAATGTATTTTTTAAAAATAGTTATCAAAAATTTTCAGTAGTACACATCTTTCATAAAAAAAAATTAAGTGTATATATTATAAAAAAATTATATATTATTATTACAATTTTTAATATGTACATGTTACTTTTAAAATAAATTTATGTTGTAATTTGATTAAAAAATAATTAACTCATTTAAAATCATGAGCAAACCCGTCAAGCATGGTGTGATACTGTTCAACCGGACCCGTCGTTTACTCAAATTGTACATAATTCTAATGACAATAAACTGAATTAAACTGAATTTGGATTTTAAATAATACAGTACTCTTGCAAGAGATTGGACCGGCATCATCTCCACCCCCATAAAATTCAACTGCCTCAGTCGGCGTTCTGATGACTATGACTAAATGATAAGGGACTCTTGCAAGAAACTGGACCCCTAACTTCGCTCCAAAAGCTAACTCATAGAGGAATGATTGAACCCAGCCTTACATACTAACCCAGGATGTACTCCTCGGGCGATGTGGGACGCATCAGTAACTAGTGAATTTGAAACTAATTAATAAATTTGCTTAAATTTCTAATCTTAATTGAATTGGATACATTATTTTTTGGCAATTATGCGTTTGGAAAAGAACATGACAACCAAATTCAAATATTAAAGTTTTTCAATTTAATATTATTTATTTTAAATCCACAAAGTATATTATTACATGAATGTTTACCCAGGATCAGACGCAACTAAGCTTATTCAAGCAATTTGAATAGCAATCTAAAATCCTAAAATATCGGTAGTTAGAATATAATTCTCAATATTTACTTATCTAAACGGAGTATATGACCCATCACATATCAAAATTAATGAAAATATATATATATTTTTTTGTCAAAATGATAGTATTTCTAAATATATATTGAAAAAACAAATAAATTGAGAATAATTTTTAAAATTTTATATTTTAACTGGTTTAATCCATAGATAGAACTATGGATTCAGTTTAGGCAATTTTTTCTCAAAATTATCTCAATATTTTTATAAAATGAAAAAATAAACATTTTTTCATAAAATTCAAATCTACATTTTTTTTCATTTCAACTACAAAAATATGAATTTTCAAATGAATCCTATAGAATCTTGTAAAATTTATTTATTCAAAACAAGAGGTGAATGAAAAATTAAAGGTTAAATCACTAAAAAAACATGAACTTTGACTTTTTGATAAATTTAGCCAATACCTTTAATTTTGTAAATTACTACTTCATATTTATTTTTTCTGTCCAATTACAATATTGTTTAGAATCAGTTAGTTTGTTGCTTATTAAGCCGTTAATTAAGTCAAAACAACCAGCTTTTCGGAGATTGCAATGTTAAAAAAATTGGAAGATTGCATTGTTAAAAAAATATTATTTGCTTCGCATAGTCAACTTGAAAGAATTTGGTAAAGTTATATAATTAATGGACTCTTTATAAACTATCAACAAGCAACTTACCATTAGCAATACCAAGGACTGTCAAGTAGGTTTCTTTACTTTCCAGAGTTGCCTCGCTTGACCGCATCCAATCTAACTATAGACAAATGTCATAATTGATAATAAAAAATAAATACTGAGCATTGGTCGACAAAATTAAGAGTATTGGTCAAATTTAAAAAAAACTCAAAAGTTCAAGCTTTTTTGGTGATTAAACCAAAATTAAATACAATAAATGTGAGAGATTAAAGAATAACATTATGTTAAAAATGTATTGATAAAATTGTCAAATATTATAGAGTATTCAAAAATAATACTTTTTTTTAGTATCGAGGAAGAGGTTTTGGACTTGAATTTATTAATAGATCGTATATATATTTACCATTAAGGATATATTCGGCAAAATTAGCTGTTTTAATAATTGTTAGCTGTTTTAATAGTTTTTCATAAAAAGCTAAAAGCTAAATGTTACATGAGTTAATTTTTTATAAAACATTACTTTAATCTCTAAAACTAGTTCAAACATTATGATGCCGAACACTATAAACAATTGCGTTTAACATTTTGATTAAAAGCTATTTGAAAACTATTGTCGAACATAATCTAAATTATACCTTCGTATGCATATCCAAATAAGACTTTTTGAATGAAACGCAACGGGATAATCAATAGAGATAACATCACAAGTATAACCAAATATAATGGAACAAATAGATATTTATTAAAAAATGAAAAAGAAAGCTAAATTTTTAGAAATGCAAATAGCAGTAATTAATATTTGTAATTAATAATTTGATCGATGGAATTTTACTGGGAAAGTGAATTGAAAAAGTTAGATTCCATGATTTTGTTAATATTTTTTTTGAAAAAATTGAGTTTCGAGCGTATAAGTACATAAAAAGTGCTTTTTGTCTAATTTAAATGGTGAAAAAATGAAATTTTCTAGAAAATAATGTATTTTAAATTTTATAATAACATATATTATTATAATTATACTATTATATACACTTAGCCAAATTTTTATTTTACTTAATTATTTATTTTTAATGGATTTGGGAGGCAAATTTTGAGGTTGAAAGAAGCAGTGAAAAAAAGGAAACAAAATAAAAAAAACAATAGTTGGCCAGCTCTAATAAGTCATGTTTTGATTGGTCAGTGATCCAAATATGTACTCTCCTTGTGACTCTAGACTCCATTTCTCTCAATAACATAGGTCGAGAAAATTATTAGACCGGACTAGCTTACTCGTCAGGTCCAATATGGAGAAAACGCACTACGACCCGGATCCAAAACCGACCCGACCAGATGAACCAGAGCTCGATCTCTACACCATCCCTAGCTACTCCAGTAAGTTCCCTCGTCTCTCTAGTTTGTTTTCTCAGAGAACGTCTTCTCATAAAAACTTAGAACTCTTCTTCTTCCTATTTGTCTTTGTTTTCTTGCTCTTTCTGCTCAGGTTGGTTTGCGTGGGACGATATTCACGAGACGGAAAGAGCCGGATTGAAAGAGTTCTTTGATGGAAGCTCAATCACAAGAACTCCCAAAATTTACAAAGAATACAGGGATTTCATCATCAATAAATACCGCGAAGATCCGTCTAGAAGACTCACTTTCACGGAGATACGCAAGTCACTGGTCGGCGACGTTAATTTGCTCCAGAAGGTGTTTAAATTCTTGGACAAGTGGGGATTAATAAATTTCGGGGCGAGTTCTGCTAGCTATGATGATTTGGAGAAAGAAGAAACGGGTAAAATTAGGGTTGAGGACGGGCCTCCGAATGGCGTCAGGGTTGTGGCTATGCCGAATTCCCTGAAGCCGCTTTCGGTGCCGCAAAGTGCGGCTGGTACTGCCGATGTTGTTGAGGATGGGCTGAAATTGCCTCCTTTGACTTCCTTTTCCGATGTCTTCAGTGAATTGGGGAAGCAAAAAGGATTTGTGTGTGGTAATTGTGGTGAAAGTTGTGGTTCTGAGCGATATGAATCTATTAAGGTATTATATATTGTTTTAATTTTAGCCTTTTTACGATGATCTTGCTTTGAATTTACTTTTAATTTAATCCATTGGTTCAATTACTGTTTGAATTCTTTATGCTTATATGATGGATTGCTTTTCCTTTGGTCATGTGTTGATATTGTGTTCCTTGCAATATTTAAATTGTGAAGATATAGCAGGTAGCTTAGTCCATCAATTAAATATTCCCTTGCGATTTTGATTAGGCAAATTTTGAACATATGGACCATTTGTCTGGCAAAGGAAAGGGCAGCTAAACACCTATTTAGGCACTCCTCAAGTGCCTGCTTTTGCTGTCCCCAAAACAGCATTTCTTCCCACGTCCTCCCGTGTTTTGTTTCTTGGTGGCAAACTTGTCTGTCTTTTTTACTTTATTCTGATAATCATGCCAGCAGGATCAATACGTACTTTGTCTAAAATGTTTCAAAGATGGAAACTATGGAGAAAACAAGTCCAAGGATGACTTCAAGTTTAGTGACAGTGTTGATGGCAGTGTTACACATGGAGCTGTCTGGACTGAGGCTGAGACTTTACTTCTTTTAGAATCTGTTCTTAGGCATGGGGACAACTGGGACCTTGTTGCTCAAGATGTTCAAACCAAGAGCAAACTTGACTGTATTTCTAAGCTCATTGAGCTGCCATTTGGGGATCTCCTGTTAAGCTCTACCTACAAAAATGGTAACTCTAGTGGTTTAAGTAGGATTGAGAACAGCTCAAAACAAGCTCCATTACCTGCTGCTGAGAATCAAGCGACAATAAAAAATGAGGATTCATTGCGTGATCAGACAAATGCTAATGAGCAGAATGGAGATGTTGTGGATGAAGGTCCTCCATTGAAAAGAAAACGGATCGGTTCTCTTTCAGATGGTGGTAGTTCTTTGATGAAACAGGTACTCATTGCTTAGCACTTAAATGAAAATTTGAACAGTCATTATACTTAGTGTTAGGTTATTTGTATTTATATTTGATCTTATGTTTTTTATATTTGGATCATTGGATGATTAAAATATTTCTTGAAGGAATTGACATGCCTTTGCTTTGGGTATGACGATTGAAATGAATTAAATATATAAGCTATTTGTTTAATATATTCTCTGAGTTTCTTGTTTATGCTTTCTAATTGTAATCCTAAGGTTTTGAAGTAAATAAATAAATTTCATTAAACCAGGTGTGGTAGTACCTGTAAAAGATAGTCTCTCCCAGCATGATGCATATACATTCTATAGTTTGCAAGATAGTGATGAACAAATTTGTTCATGCGAAAGTGTCATAGAATCATTAAGATCTCTAGGTGAGAATTACAAAGAAGAACATTTTGGGCCTCATCTCTTTATAACAATAACCAACTCTCTGTCCCTTCTTTTTCTCCTCAAACAGGGGCGAAGCTAGGATCTAGACGTAAGGGGCGCAAACCAGTATAAAATTTAATTAAACAAAGATTGCAAAAGGGAAGAAAAAGAAAAAGGGGGTGGGGAGGAGATGGTTGTTAAAGGAACTTTAAAAAAAAAAAAAAAAAAAAAAAAAAAAAAGGGGTGGGAGGAGATGGTTGTTTAAAGAACTTTAAAAAAAAAAAAAAAAAAAAAAAAAAAAAGAAGGGCCAATTGTCCATCTTCCCTAATACATTAGCTTTCGACCCTGTCCTTCAAAACCTCTTTTTTGTAAAACTTACTTTTTCCATTCCAAAACTATCATTTGCCATTTTCTAAAATGACTTCTGTGAAATTTCTCTTTAGGACCCATTGGATTAGGCGTAAGTTGAAAAATAAAGTTGATTTATCCATTTTTGGTCCCCATACTGGTTTCTCTTGATTAATGAACATTATGATTGCTTGCTGTTCTTCCCCATTGAGCAAACCTTCAAATTATAACTATCATTAAAATAGGCAAGCATGATAAATTTTGCCATCTCTTAGAGATAGAATTAACACTGGGTGAATCGCCACAAATGTGTTACTTGTTATGTTGTCAATATGTCCTTTACCTTCATCCAGTGTGATCTGCTGCTGATATAGCTTCCTGATTGGGGCATTAACTGCAGTTATGAACTATATTTGTTTAGGTTAGTCCCGGAAAGGAATATGATGAATGCTGTTATTCCTGTGGCTGGGGTGGAAATAGCCTCGTCAATAATAGTATTTAAAGATGTGTTCTTTGATGCAGAGTTTTTCATTTTTTTTATAGTTATCTTGGTTTTTGATGTATAATTCGCATTATTTTATCAGGGTGCCACTATATCTCAATGATAGGCTGGCCCAGATGCTGCAGCGCTTGCAGGCTAAGGCAGCCATTACAGCACTCTGTTGATGAAAACCTCTTGTCCAAGGGAGATTTTTGATTGGCAAGGAAAGATTTTCCAAACTATGGAATTGTGGTCTCCCACTCTACATTCCATGCCACCAAAAGGTTGATTTTATTTGTGTAATTTATATCGCATATTGTGTATAAGGGTGTTGTTCTAGTTCGGTTGCTTTGATTGCTAAATGTTTTCTCCTGTTTATATTTTCTTTGTTAGAGTCCAATCAGTTGAAGATCGGAGACAACAGATTAGTCCACTCAATCAGGTAAAATGCAGCTGCCAAATTGGGGGTGATATAGAATGGAATTTAAATTAGAAGAATATACTCTTATCCCACTCTTAAGATTAACCATTATATGTGCCTGCATGGATACTGTTGGTGTTTGCAAAATTTGGGTCTTATTTTTCAAAATTCTGATTACTCGATAATTGCCACAAGCACAAATTCCTTTTTGGTAAGTAGAAATTTATTTTTCATAATTTCTTTCCAGTTATCAACCACATCAAGTGGCCTATATGAAATCCTATCAATAACTTCTCTTAAGTTGGTGAGTATCTTTTTCAGAAAAACTGCAAGAAACATTGCCCCAGGGAAACAGAATGACATACCTCTTACTTTGCGACTTAGAACGCAATTGCAACATTCCTTGGGGCAGCAGCTAATGCCCATGCCAAATTATTGGCTGATACGGGAAGACCGAGAGATTTGAAAAATTTAGTGACCACCCATAATTGAGACACGGCTAGTCAATTTGCTGTTTTCTGTTGTGTTGTGGGTTATGGCTTTGTGTTTGTTTTCTGTTGTGCGTTCTGCCAAATGCACCCAAACTTTCCATTTTTGAGCCATGCATGTCTACATTGAGCCTTTTTTAAACTGTGAATGCTAATAATTAGTTGAAGAAATTGCAGTACCAAAAATAAAACATTTTGACAGTCTGGAGCTGATTAATGGAGAAGGAACATGCAGAATTAGAGAAACTGAAAGATCGCTAATCAAGGACGGTTGATGTCTTACAGAGGCTATTATGCTGGCATTTTGAAATGAAGGATCATACTTCTGTGAAAATCTCCTAGTGGACTGTATTTTGATTTGTAGCACGAGATTAATTTGTGTTGTAAAGAAGTGAAGAATTGAATTAGATTTAACATCGATTTTCAGGAGCCAGCATGCTCTGTAGTTTTGTTTTTTTCCAGGGGCAATCACTTCAACCGACTGAAAAAACTGAATTTGCAGATTAGGCCGATGAGCATCTTGTGGTGAGTAATTGCTTCTAAACCCTGTTGGATGCTGATCTTATTGTAATACAGCTCATTTGCATTTTGCTACATATTCCCTGTGCCGTACTAGTTATTTTTTCCAGTTTCAAATATGGAAGCTTCATTTTGCTTGGATTATGGTTGATGAAAGAGGGCATTTCGTGTTTATTTAGCAGCACACATTTTTATACTTTTTTTTCTTTTCTCATTTGAAGCTTCCGGAAGTTTTTGTTACTGTTTTCTGATTGTTGATTTATCGTAAGGTGGTACATGCATATTGATCAATATTCTTTAGCTTGCATTCTTTTGCCCATATCAAAATAAGAAGCCAGAGGTAAAAAAAACGGGTATGGAATCTGTGATTGATGGATAAAACATAATACATGTATATTCTGACATTTCTTTTTTTCCTTTTATTCTTGAAATGATAAAAATTCTGTACAACTGTCACTTTTCTCTCACCTGGCACAAACCAATTTCAATTCTCTTAATTACTGTTTGCAAAACCAAGAGAAAATGACAAAGAAGGCTTAGAAAATAACTTTCTACCGGATAGATAATTAACTTCGAATCTTTAGTTTCAGCTTCCTTGAGAGTATAAGTAGGCTAGTTCCTCTGTTATTCTTAGGCACTGACTATGAGTGGGATTTAACTAGTCCAAAATTTTTTGGAAACTTCGACATTGAAAAAGCTTTCCAAAGAGGAAACTTCTAGGCGTCTCTTGAGGGAAAATTTCTGTGGGACATTTAACTTCCCTCTCACCAAGTAATTCTGTATTCCCAACCTGTGCTGAATCAAATGGACAATTTTGGGTCAAACAGGGTTACACGGACACATCTGTAGACTAAGAAAAACTATCTTTTACTTTCCCATCCTTCGTTGATTATTTCTGCTCGTTTTTAATGTTCAATCCCATTTTTCACGAAGTATCCTTTGTGTAATCTCTGATAGAAGTCCAAATCTATCATCTGTGCATAGCTCTAGTTCGTAGTCCCTGCAAGAGATAAAAGAGTTATCATTTTTTATAAAATTATGATTGTAATTATAAATACAAGGCAAGATTAAAATCTATTACTTTAATCATAGTGCCAAATTTGCCATATATACCTCCGATGCTCGCCTCTCATGGCGGCACTGAAGACACATATCTGCAACTCTCTGTCTCTCGCTTCTATGCTTTATGGGGAATCCATCAACATGCCTGATATATATTCCTGCAAAACTTTAATTAGTTAAAAACAGAAATAGCTTACAAATTTTTGATGCCGGAGAGCTCGAGAGAGAATAAAATGGGTTAAACCAAGTACCTTGATAAGCTTCGTTTAAAACCAGCCAATGACTGTCCATGGAAACTACATACTGCAAATGTCCGTAGAGCAAAAAACAATATCAAACAATAGCTGTTTGGCCGATCTTTGCACCTTACTGTAATGACTGTGTATTTCTCTATCAGCGCAATCCGAACACGACAACTAAGGTCCTGTACCGTTCCTTGTACACTGTCCGTCTGTAGGCCTTTTCAAGTCCCTAGCCAGCAAACATCATCCGATGCAATCTTCTCCCCTGGGTGTTTCTTCCTGGGGACAAATACATAATCTTTGGGATCATTGAAATCATTGTTACCTTTCTAAACATTACAAAAGCATTTCCTTGATAAGAGAGAGCTGCTTTCGGGTCAGAGGTCGGTCTTTTTTTTTCTTTTATATTCTCTTTTTGTTTTTTTCCTGTTTTCTTTCTATTATATCTTGAACAGCAATACCAGTTGACTGTTCTGTAATGTGCATTATAGCTGCTGCTCTTTGCATTGTTTGTCGCAAATTCTCAGGCATTTAACCACATTAGACATCCCAAGATCAGTCAGTTAACTGCAGGAACTTCAGATTAACAAACCAGCCTAATCTTTGCCGATAGTTCGATTAAACGTATGCGCTTTAGGGGGGCAGCAACCCAACAGACCTATCTTACTTCATCTTGCATCTGTTTTCAAGAGCCTGCATAGCAAGTATCATTTAGCTGCCAAGCTGGAGTAGTACCATTTGATACTACTTGTCAGTAGTGAACTGAGGTAAAGAAAAATATCAAAATACCTTCTGTATGTAATTAAGCATGCCTTCATCTTTAAACTTTGTTTCCATCATTTCCAGTCACATAAAAACACTGATGAAATTGAAATCCCATGATCAAATTTGAATAAAAAAGTGATAACTACTCCAAGGATGCAGATTTTCATGCCTTAACCATCCATGAACCAAACTCCATCTGAAGAAAATGTAATGCTTTTGTTATCCCACAAGGTTTTAGGTCTGTGAGGACTTGAACAAGTTCGAGAAGCAGTTACCATGTTTATTACAGTACTCCACCTATTAA